TATGCCATTTAATGTGTACATCAGCTTATAATACCATAAGGGAATAATGTATATTTAAAGAATATATATGAATAGTCAATAATGCAAACTAGAGAAATGAACTCCATTGATATATTAACATATTCCTGCAGAAATACAACAACAATATATGTTATGGATGCCTGATGAACTTTCCAGGTATTTCATAGCTTGGCTGGCTGATATTATTTTAATCAGCTATTTTTTTATTAAACTAGAAGACTTATTTAAACTTGCTCGTTGCTGAAACTGCTTTATTCTTAATATTGTTCAGTGCTCTGCATTACTTACAAAGTATGTATCTTTCATTATTTACATTACCTGTAAAGTGTGTATGTTTTGAGTTTAAAAATTAAGTTTTTGATAGTATCAACTTAACTCATTAAACCATGCACATGTGCTTACAAATTTTTATTTCACAAAGAAAGATTATGAAAAATTAAAACCTTAGTAGTGTTTGTTTGTGAAATGCATTTTTAATATTTGCTAATATACATAAGTACTTTAAAAGCAACTGTTTTTATCATCATACGTACTATGTATTTCATTTTTTTACAGACATCCTCAAAATCCAGCAATAAAACAAATTCTGGAAGACAAAAACAAAAGGCAGCTCAGAACAGAAACTACCAACATTAAAAACAAAGAAGAAAACAAGCAAAAAATGTGCATGGTGTAATAAAAAAACTGGAATTGCAACAAGTTATACTTGCAGGTAATTTTTGTATATTATATATGCAAGTGTCTAATGTAAGTACAATATAAGTTGATTGTGTTTAATGTTTATTTTCGATATGGTACATTACCTCTTCTCACATAAATAGCTATTCTCGTTCAGTGCTGCCCTCTATATGCAAAATGTTTTTTTTCATGCCACAAGACATGAGCTCCCACATACCACACAATCAACGTGGTTAAACTGCATCTCGCTTTTTAATAATTATGCGACAATTATGATTATGAGTGCAGCACATTCTCCTGATGCATGTGACTCCCTCTATTTGATTCTAACGAAATATCATTTCTCGTTTGGCAGTGCTATCGTCAAAACGTTTTTTGTTTTTAATTTCATACAAAGTGTAGATATTTTCTATTTTTTTACTACTTCACTTGACCAGTTTTACGTGATAACTTACCTTTATTGTTTTTCACAAATTTTTTGGTTATCACCAAAGCTTACATTTCCATTTCGAAAATGTTATCATTTACTTCAAGCACAATTACCTGGGCTTCAGATGGTGGTATTCAACTGAGGAATTGTCCGCTTTTATACATTGGGATATTAATCATTATATGAGTTGACCTTCATCAGGCTTCGAGTTTGGGGGCCCACACATTGGAAATACAATGCACCGACTTTGGACAGATGAGCTGTTATACTTTTACAGCTTTTTGAATATTTTTGAATATTAATATTATTATCTGTACTTATTTAGTTTCAATATCATATGTTTAGTTCAGATTTGTACCTAGTTCTTGTAAGGTTAGGATTTTTTAGTTAAAACCTAGTGATATTCTTTGTACTACAACATCATACAATGCTTATATGCGTCATTGTAATTTTAGGCTTACCTGTAATTCATCTTATTGGTAAATTGTAAATTAGGTTAAATATATTGTTTCTTCATCAAATACCATCTACTCAATTTTTTATTGTCAATATACACCTACTTAATTTTGAAATACATGTATAACAACTTTTTTATTTTGGTAATTAATTTATTTTATACTTCTTACAAATAATTTTGTTTGTGAGGACCCCTGGGTCTGTCCAACCTTCTCCCAATATGGTTCGCCTTCCTCCTTAAACTACCGAATTTGTTTGGGATGACGTCTATTTTGACAATTTTCCTCCACCTGTTTATTAATTGGCCTTCTCAGGTGGCCCGGCATGGCCAGGTGGTTAGGGCGCTCAACTCACAATCTGAGGGTCGCGGGTTCGAACCTCCATCCCACCAATCATGCTCGCTCTTTCAGCCGTGGGGGCATTATAATGTGACAGTCAATCCCACTATTCGTTGGTGGTGGGTGGTGATTACTAGTTGCCTTCCCTCTAGTCTTACCCTGCTAAATTAGGGATGGCTAGCACAGATAGCCCTCATGTAGCATTGCGCAAAATTCAAAAACAAACAAACAAGGCCTTTACTGAGGAGTCTGCTAGGCCTACCTCAGCTCTTTTTATATACGTTTCACACTTGTTATTTTTTCTCCTTTTACAGATATTTTGGTTCATGCTAGGCCTTTTTGTCTCTCTTTTGAGAGATGGTGTTGGCATGCTTTGCCTTCCACGGCCTTTGGTTCATTTTGCCCCTCAGTTTACCATCAGGCAGGTTGTTTTTTTTGTTTTCTTTCTTCTCTGCACTTTGAATCTTTGTCGCCTGTATAGAGGGCAGAATCTGTTAATCCTATCCCTTTCTCTCTAGCCAAGTTTTCCAGCCTTGGTCTTCCCATATCACCTGCCCTACTGATATTGGCTGGCATCACTTCCTTTTCGAGGCATTTCGTGGGATACATTCCTCCTCCTTACCTATATGTTGAGGCGATTGCCATCTTTGGCTCTTTCCCTACACATGTTTCTTCTTTACTTTTGGAATCTTCTGGGGTGAGACACTGTCTTGTATCAAGTTTGTTTCCCTTCCACTTCTAATCGGAACTTATGGACAACTCTTTTCCTCCACTGATCCGTTTTTTTGGAGGGGGGATGCTCCTGTGACTTTATAATCACGTGGGATGGTATTTGTATTGCTACATTTGATTTTTTCTTTTTTGGTTACTCATTGACCTGTCCCACCTCAATCACTTATTGGTTCTTTTTCTTTTTAATATATTGTCTTTTATCACATTCTGATGGGCCATTTCCCCAAGACTGAGGATCCCCAAGGCTAACATTTTGTATTCTTATGCTCAAGTTCTGATTTTTCATCCCTCATGTTTCGTGCCTTGGCCTTCAAACTTGTTTCAGACCTGTATGTCTTTGTCTCTGGTTCCTCATTCACTTGTCTTGGCTGTCGATGCATTCAGAGAAGATTTGACACTTATAGCTATTTCTCGATCTTCATCTTTGCCATCTAAACATTGTGTTTGCTTGCTCCAGTCTTTATACCCCACTTGATTGCCAAAGTTTACACCGGCTTTCATATGCCCTTCATGCAGGTATTGTATATAAGCTCTGTATGTCGACAATATAATAATTTTTTTGACAAACTGCTAGTGTTAGGAGTTATGTTTTGTGGTTCACATTTTCTTTTGAAACATTTTGACAGTATTAATTCTCGTGTAATGGTTTCTGGCACGGGGGTTAACCAGACCTTGTCCATTCCTCCTTTGTTCTTTCCTGAATCAGGACACGTACAGCCTCCATCGAGAGTGCACCCCCTTTCCCGACTACCACCATGAGTTGGAGTCCTTCATGTGACCTTGAGGTTCAGAGTTGGCATGAACCTGAATATACTGGGGAGAATTTAGACACTGTTTTCTGCTCCTTCTTTTACTACAGCTGCCTCTTCTGAGGGCTCATCTGATCAACCACCTTCTGCAGTTAGTTACGCAAGTTTGTGAAGCTTTGGGGATTCACCCCTTGCTTTTGAGTCTACCCTGCCTTGTTGTCAGATAGATCTTGGGAAGATTACTTAGTTCTTTCTCCTTACCCTGATATTACCATGTATGCTGGGATGTTTACAATGCAATTATGAGAAATTATTGCTATGCCTTACTCCCCTCGTTTATCAGGGCAACAAAGGCTTATCATCGTCTGGCTCTAGTATATTTGGACACTCAACAGTTAGATTTGTTGTTGGATTTATGTGGTTCCAGGTTAGAACCTGTTATCCCTCTTACCAGCTCTTCATTTTCGCAGATTCATTTAACTCTTACTATTGGATTGTGAAACTCCTCTTTGTGATTTCCAGAAGGTGCCCCTTTTTCGGCTATACTAGTTTACTGTAATCCCTAAAACTTTCGAAGCCCAATTTTATATGGCATGTTTGTAGTTTTCTGTATTGTTATTGGCTGCTTGCCTCTCTTTTACTCCAATGGGTAATTCTCCAGTGGAAGATCGGTCATTCGCATCTCACAGCCCCCCCACCTTCGACACCTCATCCTATTGGTTTAAAGAATAGGTTCCATCCGTATTCTCAGGGATCTTCGGAAGGTTGGGATGGCACCAGTGGCATTGGTGTCTACCCATTCAGTAGGTCGATCCCGTTCATCCTAAATTTTATTCTCGTCTTTTTCTGGTGACCAAGAAACACTAGAGATTGCTTTCTTATCAATCTGTCTCGACTCAGTCTCTTCCTACAGCCTCCTCATTTCACCATGGAATCTTTTCTTCATCTTCAATGGCACTTCACACCAGATCTTTGGATGAACAAGTCTGATGTTACAGATGCCTTCCTTCAAATCCCCATAGCAGAGTCTTCTTGTTTATTTCTACATTTTTTACATAAGGACCAGATGTAGCAGTTCCAAGCTCTCGTGTTTTGACTTGCTTCAGCACTATATGTTTTCTGCTGAGTAGTACGAGCCTTTGAGCAGCATTTTCATTTTCTGGGTCTGTGCACACATCGTAATTTGGAAGATTGACTTTTTTTGACACCAACCTGTCATGTTGCCACACTATATCCACAGATTCTCCTTTCCGAAGCCAGTAGGGTGGACTTCATATCAGGTTGGAAAAATCCATTCTCTCACCACCTCCATACATGGTCCATCTTGGGTTATTTTTCAGTGCACTTTGAGTCGAGTTCAACCTTCTCTCCTCAGACTTCACACTAGGGAAGGGACTGTCAGGCATTTGCTTATGTCACCTTCTCCAACTGCATGGATTGTTCTGTCTTATCGGTATGATCCTCTGTCCTACCCCCACCATATGGCTGGGTTTTGGATTGCAGTTGACTCCCCAATGGTATGATCCTCTTTCCTACCCCCCACATGGATGTTGGTTCCTGGTAGCTGAGTTTTGGATTGTAGTTGACTTACCAATAGTATGATCCTCTTTCTTACCCCCACATGGATGTCAGTTCTTGATGGCTGGGTTTTGGATGCAGTTGAATTGCATTGTACAGTCCATTGCATCCTAGCCACTTTACACCTTGGAGCACACATTCTTTTTCTTCTTACCAACATTACTGTCATCTGTGGGATTGAGATTCAGATATCAGATGGTTTGGATCCCTATCCAACCATTGTTGGATATGCTCCTCCCTTTTTCCACCCACTGTCTGCATCACCTCTTTCCACACAGGGCTTAAGAGTATACCTGGTACAAACACTGGTGCAGTCTCCCACGTATGGTCCTCTACTGCAAGGATCCACCTTTTGCAGTGTCTTTTAGATGCTTTTGAAGGACTCTTCTTTATTTCCCTTGCACCGATCACTCCACCTATTCAATGTGGGATTCTAGCTATTTATGTGACAGGAGGTAATGTACCGTATTGGAAGTTATAATCTCCCTACACTGAAAATGTATTTCTGATAGTTGGAATAATCGAATAGAGGGAGTCACATGCATCAGAAGGGTGTGTTGCACTCCTATTGGTGGAGGGTTGTCGCATGATGATTTACATGCAAGATGGAGATGAACCATGTTAATTATGGGGTACATGAAAAGTTGAAGTTTGTGGCATGCGAGAAAAATTTTGCATACAGATGGTAGCACTAAACAAGAACAGCTATTTATGTGAGTAGAGGTGAGTACCTTTCGGTAATACGTTTTCAGTATAAGAAAATTTTAACTTCATGTTGAAATTAAAAAATTTAAGTTAAAATTTAGTTCCATAGATGTAAAATTACTAGACTTGTACAGATTTTTAAGTAATTATATACAAAATGACTTACCTGGTAAAATTTTCTATAGACATACACTATGAAAAACAGTTAAAGAATAAATGGAATACATAATGTTTAAGCCATGACAAATAAAATAACTTTTATAAAATAATGTCTATCTCTCCTCACAGTTTATTTTTTCATTTCACACTTCTAATAATCCCTCGTGTGGTCTGGAAAAAAAACGATTGGTTATTCAGCTTATTCTATTTCTAAATCAATATTTTGTAGATGTGACTTCATATCTTTACAGTTCATGACATGATCACCATGAATGGCAAAGACAGCATATTACTGTAGTTGCATACTTAAAATTATTGCCTTTAAAGTCCTAATGTATGCTCAATCGCTTCTCAGAAAGAGTTGTTTTCAACTAGGTCATTTTTAGCTAGGTCATTAAAGTCATTGACAAGATGTGACACATCTCAGCAAAGCATCCATTACATGCTTGATGAACTTAAAGTTCAGCATACACCCAGTCCACTTCATTCTGTCAATTCTCTCTTCTTCAAAGGATATCTTAACCAGTTAAGCACAAGCATAAAGAATCAAAGGATGTGCTTACTGTAATCTATAGCATTATTGGTATTAGCCCTCAGATTAGAGATTGGTATGTTCACCAATATTTATTCCTGCTCATGCCACGCTTCCATCACTGTCATGTGGATGAGAGTTGGGTTAGATCTAATTTGAGATTTTTCTCAAAATGAGCATACTCTGGCTACATGGGGAAATGTAACTCATCTGTAAAATGAATTGCTCCACATAACATTGATCTACTGGATGTGTTCTTGGCACATGGAAAGCAAGCTGTTTTGTGACTCGCTATGAGTAGAATGAACCTCACTGAGATTTGACATACAGACTGGCATTGTAAAATCTGTGAACATCTGATTCAGTCTAGAAATAGGTACCAGATGATTGTGGGGAGCCAGAATTTTCAAATAACAGTAATCATCTTGTGTTCTGGATGATAGTCTGTTTGGTCCATGTGTCTGAGCAACAGTGCCATTGGTTTGATAACAATGTCACTTTGAAACACTTTTTGCCAGTTCTGTGGTTAACCAGCTTCCATTAATCCAGTGGCTTTCGATATTAGTAAAAAATCCATATCTTCATTGAATTCCATTGTTCATAAATAATTTGATCTTTAAATCCTGTGATCTACTTCAAAGTGACAGTTGAGGCAAGAATGTGAAACAACTGGTATAACATAGACTGATGAACTAATCCTTTGCATTTCAGATCACATGATGGCTCATCTGATGTATGATTAATGCTTTATAACAGTAGTTTTGCCTATATTTGTCTTATGGATTGTAGTTTTACGTAACTAAAAGGTAAATTTACAAATATTGGCTTTGATCAATCACATGATCCATAAAAATGTTATATTGGTCCAAGTAACATGTTATTTTTGAACAAATAGCCACAAAATTTTAGTTTTCAAAGAGGGCAGTTTGTAAGGAAACATTAGTGATTAGTTTTATTAATTAGGAAACTTACTGACTTGTAGAAATAATTTAGCAATTTTTCATGGAATATAGTTATAATAATCTCATTTTGTTTTTTTCAAATCATTTCTTGAAGGTGAAAATGTTATTTTCATATCAAATACATTAAATATACATGTTAAAAATTATTACAAAACATTTGTAGTTCTTTATGAAGAGCACAAACATTAAAATTAATCTTGAATAATTAACAAAGAAATGAGCATTTCTTTTTTAAGAAATATTGTACTGTTACAGATTTGTGGGATCATTCTTAAGCAGCAGCTAATAAAGATAATAGGATTACTTACTCTGATTATGAAATTATGGTGTTTTATCCAGAATATATGTGTGATATACTGTAATGTCTAAAAGTTGTTTTTATTGTTCATTAAGAAGCTTATTGTGGATTGTTTCTAATTGAAATTCTAATGCAGCCAAATAATAATGATATTTTGTAACTTCTGACTGAATAGTAAGACTTGAAACTTAGTTCACAAAGAATTTATCACAGCTTTTTTCCTTAATACTGCATCTCCATTAATACAATAATTATTATCCAGTTTAGTTTAAAACTGTCAATATAATCTTTCATAAACCAAACATTAACTTAATGATTTTCTAGTAAAATATGTAGATTACTTTCCATATCTTGTATAAATATGTATATTTATGTAGAAATAGAAAAAGTTAGTTGGTAATTTCTGTTTTGTTTAAGTAAAGGTATTTGAACACTGATTTATACTTACTGTAACTTTAATAATGTATTTTGCAAAATATACCAACAGGTGTGGTAAAAACTTTTGTGCAACTCATCGCTATGCTGAACTTCACCATTGTACATTCGACTACAAAACAGAAGGACGCCGTTTAATACAACAAAGTAACCCTCCAGTAAGAGCACCTAAACTTCCAAAGATATAGTTCTTTAAATTATTTGAATCTCTAAGCACAAATGCTTTTTTAATTATAAAGTAGGGGTACATGCAATTAAGAAGTGCCTTTTCTATCCTTTGTATCACAAAACTTAATAAATACATGACCTGCAACTCATTTTGTTATTTTGTGATATTGTTTTTCCCATATTCAAGAGGGAATGCACAAATCCGATTGTTAAAATAAACATTTGTATATAGAAAGAGTTAATGGAGTTTATTGTTAATTTCTGTTTCTTAATATTATGGTTTTGTAGTTGAAAAATGTAAAATCAACTTTCCTCTTTAAGTACTTTTCACTAAAAAATAATCAACTGCTACTTGAATCCACTTTTTAAATTAAATTCATATATTAATCAAATGTGTACAATCACAGATGTAGTTAAATCAACATCATTAATGAATCTAGATAATTCATCACTTTTAGAAGACACATTTTGTAGTCATAAAGAAGTAATATAAACTTTATGAAAATGTTTGGGTTCCAGCTTTAATTGGTTATATCCTAAATAATTATTTTATAACAAAGTAAGCATTTGATACATGGTATGAAAAAGAAATGTAAACACCAATCTAAAAACACATGATATTGTACAAAATTAACATTTTTGTTTTCTTTGAAAGGTGTATGTTACAGAACTTACTTTGCCATCGTGAAATAGAAAACAAATCTAGTTTAATTTCTTTGTTATTTACTATTTATTTTTAAGTAACATGTATAAAATATTTATACAGCAATAGTTTATGAATAAAAAAAAGAATCACCAATAGTTTATGAATAAAAAAAGAATCACCAGTAGTTATTGAGCAAAAAAAGTGTTATGGATGCACAAGTTATTTCTGATATTGATAATCATTTATTTAAAATTATTTTTTTGGACATAGAGTGTCAATGATAAAGTATATAATTTTAAGGTAGAAGATCTGAACGACTTTGAATAAAATACGTTAAACTATTTGCTTGGACATGCCTACTGGAAAAGAAGTATGTTAGACAACTCATGTTCTTCAGTTTAGTAAGTGCCATATATTGCATTTTTTATGTTTTCTATGGAACATTCATCAAGTTTAATCTCTGACCGATATTTTTTTTAAACTCACAATGAACATAGGATTATAAAAAATAAAATGCACAGAAATTTTTTAACACTCTCTGTGAAGTTGTATTTGGTGCAAGATATTAATTCTAGAGCTGGAGACTTCATCAGGCACTTTTTGGTTAGCATAAGGCCTAGGTAGTTCTTCACTAACCAAATTGTGCATAATGAAGAATCCTGCACTGGAGTTGAAAGCTTGCACCATGCAAGTAAACCTTCAAGTAATATGTGGTAAAATGTCTGTACATTTTACTTTGTTTTATTGAACTCTTACATTTTGTTTGTGATCCTTATAAGTAAACTAGTCAACAAGTTCTGAATATCTCAAATGAGCTTCTTACCTTAATATCAGAGAAATTTATTTTCCAGTTTAAATTTTGTGTCATTTGTGTATTTTAATAGTATTTGATGGCACTTGCACATGAAGAGCTTCCATCAACCATCATATAGCTGCCCAAGTTACTTCAAACCATCATCTTTCTAAATTCCTCTGCACAGTCATCTCCAGATATCCCTAATTTCTTCATACTCAACAAAGAACATATCATATCTCTATGATTTCATTATATCTAATAATGCATGATTTATAATTTTTTACATTCCATCCAGATCTTTTCTACCCTCCAAATCTGATTAGGTTAATGTAAATCCTGTGTTGTTGTTGTTTTTTTTGTTTGCTTACAAGACAGTCCTGTATTATTTATTAAGTGCAATGGTTTTTAAATTTCTGAGGATCTATAGATCGATAATGATTGTAAGTAGTAAGATGATTTTTGTTTTGTACAAGCCAACCTTGCTGAGAAGTTTTTGAAACATCTGTCTTTGTATGCTGTAGTGTTTTAGTCTGTTTTTATAATTTTCATTTTATAGTGGAGTAAACTAGATATATGCAACTTTATCCTTATAAGTCATAAAAGATTGTTTCAACTTTATTCTCAGTTTTGTAGTGATATTTATTTATAAACTTATTTTGTTTTCTTTTTATTTTATTAAAATTTGGTATTTACTACAAATTCAATGGTTTCTAAATCTTTGATTCATCCAACTACTAAATATTATTATATCTATGGAAACCACTTAATTTTTTTCACTTCTACAAACATACAACATACATTTATTGGTGTGAAATGTAAAATATAGTATTTTTACATTTTGAAAGATCTGTGTTTTTTTATGACCAAAAGAATATTCAGAAAGCCTTCTTGAAACATGTTTAGAAATCCAGATTGTCATAACTTAGTTCCTTAACATACCAACTTTACAAAGTAATGATAGGAAGCCTCATTGTGACTTTTCAATCAACACTTAAGACAAAAAAAAGTAAGTAAAACACCATGTACAGCACAACTGTAAAATGGTATTTTATCTCAAATACTAGTAAAACTCGCTAATTATATAAAGTATTTTAAATTAAAACTAAAAATTTATTTTAGGATAAGATGCATAGTGAATCAAAAGGAAAACCAAAGATGTATTTTAAGTTTGAGAATTTTTTATTTCTCTTTTTACTAAAGCTTTGTGAGAGGAATTATTTCCATAATTATGTAACATGTCATGTAAATCTTTATTATCAAGTGCAGCCTAAGCAATGGTATAGGCATCAGATATGGGGGTCATTGCACAACCATTTTTCAAACAGAGGGACACGGTCCCCCACTTTTAATAATTCAAACTTGGTAAAATATATTCTATTCAAAAATATAAAAGGAAGGCAGAAAAACTAAGTATTGACAATTTTTAAAAGTTCTGTGTGGTATGGAACTGTAATATTCCTCATTGTATTACTGGCATAATTTAAGTTGTTCAAAATCTGTGCTGATCGTTAACAAATTACTGGTCAAGCACCAAGGGAAAGGAGATGGTATTTTCGGGTGAAGCTGATTTCCCTTACAGTGATGGGATAGATCCACAGAATAACGGGAGATTCAACACGATATTTATCATGAAGCAATATTGTGTTTCTCTGAATATTTGAGTTTATGAGAATGAAATAGAGATTAAACACAATGTAAAATAAGATAGAACAATCTTTATTATAATGTATTGCAAAGTGTGTGCACTTGATTTGGATAATTGTCTATTACTTGTACAGGATTTAAACTATTCTCTCCAATTGATCAGGTTGAAATAATCTATCAGACTGTTTAAATTCAATGTTCCTTACTTCTCAGGTAATGTTAGATTTACCTACATAACTGTTCAATCTCATTCAAGCATATGGTAGGCCTAACCTCGAAACGCCATCCGACTTACCATTGAAAGACTGCTGTCTGTATTCTTGCATAACATTTAGCATTACAGCTATCCACCATAGCCGATTGGGTGTGGTCCCAATAGAATGACAAAGGAACAAAGGTTGCTAGAATAAAATAAACATAACAATTTTCTTGACCACGTGTGAGGCAAAAACTGCACATACACACAATTTGATAGTTAGAATAATACTGTATTAATACAAGAGGTTACAAAATGCAATATGTTTATGTACCACACTTTTCCTCTCTTTCTTACTTCAAGGTTGTCTCCAAGCTGACAGTCAAATTCAATTCTAAAATCAATAAACTGTATACACTCACAAGAGTCAAGTAGTACAATAACCTTCTCTTACTCCCTTAAACATTTGCATGCAGCACAGAAATCACAACCCTTTAACAAAGAAAAATCATTCATAACCAAAAACCATTTAACATAGATGAAAGTACAAACTATTAAAAACCTCTATCCATTTTCAACATCCTAGAACATTTGTCTGTGTATCATTTCCTCCTGCTCCCGAGAGAGTGGGTTGTTATGATTCATTCTGACTATTCCTCTGTCATTGGCTATATCACCAAGCAAGAGAGATCCAAATCCAGATCTCCATGTTTTCATACTGTGGATCTTCTTTACTGGGCCCACGACCACTACGTGGTGATATTGGCGTATCATATTCCTGGTATTATGAATCTGGTGGCTGATCACTTATTTCAAACCAGTCTGGTTCTCCCTCCACAAAGTGGTCCCTTCTTCCACAGGTATTTCAGTGGGTGGGTTCTCAACTGGGAACACTGCATATAAATGTGTTTGCCACTAACTGTAATGCCTAATTTCCTTCCTTTTGGTCTCTTGTTCCACACCCTTCAGCTGTGGTAGTAGATGCCTACCCTCCGATCAGACAGACGTATTCTGACTTGTCCATGGAAGGTCGCCATCTGCACAATGTTTCTTTGCACCCACTTTGTCATTTAAATATGTCTTTAACTGCTCACCTTTGCCAGCCTTTGGAGGAGGTTGTTCAGGCTGGGCTGTGGACAACTCCCAATACATTTGTCTCACATTCTCTGCATGACCTGACTATGTCTTCCGTGGGTAAATATCGCCTTCCGCCTGTGGCGATTCTACATGCATCTGTTCAACTTTGACAGAGCTAAGTCGACACATTACTTTTCCTACATATTTTCAGTTGATACATATCGTATTTCAGGATCACACCTGGTGATGGGTGTTGCCTGGTCAGGTATGCTTCATATTACATTTGTACTAAATATGAGTAATTCTATAATGCTCACTGTTGAGATGGGCTGTTTCTATGAGACTACCAGCAGCTTATCTAGTGGTATGTGTATCTATATTTTTTTTACTAAAAGTTACTAGATTCATTAATAAAGGATTATCACTGATGGACCTCGTGAGTAATGCAGATGGGGATTTCTGCCCATCCCAACTGACCAGTAATTCCTACAATAGGATTTTGTCTGCTTTTCAAAATAGGGAATCACAGACTCCTATTGCACTCTCTCTGGTGTGTTGTTTCCCTGGACTCCCAAAATGTATTCCCCCTCTTCTCTTCTAGTGGAGCACGGGTGTCTTTACCATTTCTGGTTCCCAGTTACTGGAGTGGTGGACCTTGGAGGTTTCCTCAATAAAACTTTCTAGCTTATGTGTACCCACTCAGTGAGAAGAGTACTATAGTCTTTATAATCTTTACAGTACCGAACAATGAATTATACAATAATATTCAGTATACAAGGCACTTCCCCCAGATGTTTTTGCCCTGGCAGGCCACACTTGACCTAATCCTATGTATCCAAAGTGCTTCCCCCTGGGTATTGCCAGGGCAGATTGCACTT